TTCTTCTTCTTCTTCTTCTTCTTCTTCTTCTTCTTCTTCTTCTTCTTTCATAAGAAGCTCTTGGGGCTGATGGTGTATATGAATCAGCCACAACTCAGCAACCGAGCAATAACAACAGCTGTTGAGTAATGTTTCTGATAGTACTTCCGTCACCAAGGATAACTGTTTTGAGATATTTTTCTCTTGCTGAGGGCAATAATAAACAAATGCTTTGGGTTTTTTTGTTTTGTTTCTTTAAGATTTTTCCTCCTGAGAATATTTAAGATCTGGAGATTAGAAATCAAGGCTTCTTACACCATGCAGTCCTTTCAAGGACTAGCTCATGCTGCAGAAGACCTGAGCTTCACTGGAGATTTACACATCAAAATACCCTCGGGCAGAACATGACGTCTATCTACTGATCTTTTGTGCTGTAATGGGAAGGAGGACTATCTAGAACTTATAGTTTTGTTTTCTTTCAGTACTGGGAAGTAAACAAGAGGCCTTGTACATGATTGACATGTGTCCTACCATTGAGCTATATTCCTCGGGCTACTTTTAACTCATAATAACTCCATGACTTCAGAACTCCTTCTCATGCTTTTGAAGTTTACCAGCAAATTGAGCAACATTGTGGCTTCACTGAGCAAGTTACTGAATGCCAGTTTTCTTATCACTAAATGGTGGCCAGTTTAGTCTGACTTCATGTGTTAGCTGTATGGATTAAATGGGTTAATACATGCAAAGAACTTAGGAAAGAAACAGGAAAATAGTAAGCACCAGATAAATAATAGCTGGTGATATAATAAGAGTCATCATTAATTTCAAAGATCTGTGTTTGTGATATCCAAGAGCAGTGTGGCCTTAGGTACATGTCTAAGAGCAGAGTGGTCCTAGGTACATGTCTAAGAGCAGTGTGGCCTTAGGTACATGTCTAAGAGCAGTGTGGTCCTAGGTACATGTCTAAGAGCAGTGTGGTCCTAGGTACATGTCTAAGAGCAGTGTGGTCCTAGGTACATGTCTAAGAGCAGTGTGGTCCTAGGTACATGTCT